TGCCGAAGGCCGCATGAGAACCCAGGAGCAGGTTTGCATGACAATCAAGGTGGTACGGTGAAACCCCCAACCCTGAGCCCTGAGCTTTCCCTCCCGCTTCTTCCCCTTGCTTCCCCCTTCAAGCTCCATTCTCCCAGGTTTCCCCCTCCGCTCTCCCACCATCTCTTCTCCCCTCTCCCGCCTCCATTCCCCAGTCTCATTAGAGTTTCATATCCTCCCCCCAGTTTTGTTAAATAAATAGAGTTTGTGTTCATGAAAATACATGTATTTTATTTGACATCAGAAAGGTGGGTTAGGGAGGATTAAATGGAAGGACTAGAGGGAGGAATGAGGCATAAACCCCCAGTGGGGCAGACCAAGGAGGCTCTTAGTGCTTTTCAGGGTGGAAGCTTTCTCGCGAGGCCTCCTGGTTACTGACAGCCCCACAATGGACCTCCTGGATGGCAGCCTGTAGAAAGTGCAGCCAGGCTTGCAGCAATGCATCCACAAGAAGCACCAGAGTGCTCAGGAGCAGCTCTGGCTCCATGTTACAGAGTGCTGTAGTGTCCCGAGTGAGGGCAACCAGAGCACGCAGAGACAAAATCCTTTGCTGTCTCTCATCGAGGTAGACAAGCAAGCAGGGAAACTTGAAACCTGACTGTCCGGGGGTGGGTGTCCCTTTAAGCACAGACCTCAGATAGCCTTAGGCAGCAGCTCCACACAGTAAGTCCTGACCTGGTGCCCTGCCGGAACTGGTTCTGGTCAGCCTTCATTTGTGGGGGTGGGGGTGGGGTCCCTTTAAGCACAGGCCTCAGATAGCCTCAGGCAGCAGCCACACAACGTAACTCCTGACATGATACCCTGCTGGACCTGGTTCCAGCCAGCCTTAAATGCGATTCAGCATCCACTCAGTTGGACGTGCTATTTCAAAATAGCAAAAAGCTATTTCAAAATGCATTTTGTGTGTAGACGCATTATTTCGAAATAACTTATTTTGAATTAACTGTTTTGAAATAAGATATTTCAAAATAACGCTGTAGTGTAGACATACCCTTAGAAAACAGTTTCTTTAAAACATAGGTAGATAGCACACAGCTCAGAAAGCTAACACAAAGAATCCTACACACGTCCCCTTACCTAAATTTTAGTCTTTTCTCACAAAGATTTGCAAGTTCCTGTCTACTGAGCTAACCCCGTCTCTGGAAGGAAGAAGCAGATTGTCCTGCTTACAGCATACTATGTTCTGTGTCTCTTTTAATCTGGGTGTTAACCTCAGTCAGCTGACAACCACCTCCCATAGTTTGACTGATAGTTTGCTGGGCTTTTATGCAAATATTATTGAACTAAAATTTAACATTAAAAATACAATTTGGAATTTGCACCAAATTTTTTCCTTTTAGTGGTTTTAGAAGTGAACTAACTAAAAGGTATTGCCTTAGTCTCAGTTTTTGAAAACACTTATTCTTTCCTCTTACACACTAACAATTGCAGTAGACTTTCTATGATCTTATGGTACATTTAGACTATGTTCTTTTTTCAAAAGGAAATATGCAAATTCAGTGCTAATTTGCATATCTTCTTCTGATCGCTTTTTCTAAAGCTTTTTTTTTCAAAAAAGAAAGCAATTTAGATGAGGTTCTTTAAAAAAAACCTTTTCCAAAAGAACCCTGCAAAACTCATTTTTTGAGGAAGAAGGGTTCTTTCGAAAAGGATTTTTTTTTTCTAAAGAACTGTGTCTAAACTGCTTTCTTTTTCAAAAACATTTTTTTCGAAAAAGCGATCAGAAGAAGATATGCAAATTAGTTCCAAATGTGCATATCTCCTTTCGAAAAAAGAATGTAGTCTAGATGTACCCTTAGTGTATAGTTTTAATTAACTATGTAGCACCTAGAATTGCAGTATAGTTCACTTCCTCTAGGCCCCCATGCCAAACATCAAAGTACATTGAAACATCTTGACTAATACACATTGATGGTCCTATCCTTCATGATTTTATCTAGTCCTTTTTTGAGCCCTGTTACAGTTTTGACCTACACTACTGTCGTGTGATTTGCTTTATTTTAAATCTGAGGGAAACCAGGAGACACCAGAAAGGCTTAACCACTTCCTTATTTATTACAAGCCTTCAAGCAGTTAATATAGTCCTTTCAGTTTTGTAAGCCAAGCAATTACTACACAATTTAAACCTTAAATACTATAAATTTTGAAAGCAATTAATATAATATAATATAATATAATATAATATAATATAATATAATATAATATAATATAATATAATATAATATAATATAATATAATATAATATAATATAATATAATATAATATAATATAATTAATACATAAGCCTATGTTTTATTGCAAGCCAGTTACTACAACCTTAAACTCAATTCACGTACAGTTCACCTGTACCATAGCTTTACAAATGCCAGAGAGGAGATCGTTGCCTCTTTATATTCCCAGTCCTTGAGGCATCTGCAGTTGTTGCCATCAGCATGAATGGTTACTACTTCCTGCTGCAATGAGCAGGACCTCTGGGCAAATTCTACTCCCTACCTCCCAGCTACGTTTTTGTGAAGCTTGTTTTTATAACACAGCAAGACTTGGTTGTTTCACCCATAGTTGCCACATACTTTATATGCTAACATTAGTTCCCTGTTTTTTAAACTCTAATGACACTGACTTTATTCTGGCTTATCTTTGCAGACCCAAATCATGCACAGCTATCTTAACGTTGTTTACCCATTTGTGGGAGGCATTTCTGATAAATGCAAAGTGCATCTGTTATTTTGCTCCCTGTTCCCGCAAGCTGTAGCAAAATTCTGGAAAGTATCAGCCATGCTTGTTATTTATAATAACACTTAGTAGTTTCAACATTTGCTTGTTATTTACTGTAGTCTTACCCAAGGCCTAGGGCAAGAGGTTTCATTTTGGCATACTTGAATAGCCAGCATGCACATTTGCACCAGGCTATAGCAGGGCTTTGGCTTATGGAGCCATACTGTCAAGCCATCAGTCAAGACTTTGGTCAAAGTAAGGCCATGAAGACTCCTCCACAACAATATATTCTGCCAAAGGGTTCCATAACTTGAATATATGTTGTTTGAAGAAATACTTCCTTTGGTTTGTTTTAAACTTGCTGCCTATTAAGTTCAATTGGTAATCCCTAGTTCTTGTGTTAAGAGAAGGACTAAATAACACTTCCTTATTCACTTTCTCTATACCAGTCAAGATTTTACAGACCACTATGACATCCTCTCCTAGGGCATCGCTACACTAGGAAATTATTTCAAAATACTTATTTCAGAAATACTTATTTTGAAATAATAACTCCAGAAATAATAATTTCAAAATAGCATGTCCACACTATGGGGAAGCTGCAGAATTAGTCTGAGGCAGGCTCCGTTAACACGGATGCACTACCTTGACTTAGAGCCTGAGGAAGCACTGGGAAATAATTAGTTTGAATGACTCTGTGGAGTAGTTATTTCAAAATAGCAGCACCAGAGTGTCTACATTACTGCTATTTCAAAATTAGTGTTATTCCTTATGGAAAGCTGGAGTTATTATTTCAGAATAACCAGCCTGTTATTTTGAAATAATGGGCTTGGTAGTGTGGATGCTCCACTTGTTATTTTGAAATAAAGGGAGTTATAACTCCCTGTGTATACCAGGGCTTAGTCATCTCAATTCCAAGCTGAAAAATCAGAGTCTTAGTAAGATCTCTTCATACAGAAGCTATTCTATAATATTAATAATTTTTGTTGCCCTTATCTGTGCCTTTTCCAATTCAAAACTATCATTTTTTGAGATGGGGTAACCACATCTGCACACAGTATTCAAGATGTGGGCATACCATGGATATATAGAGAGTAGTAACAAACCTCAAAGATTAATTATTCCCCTGTAACAACCCAACAAATAATAATGAGGCCTCAGCCAGGAGCATACAGTTCCACCAAACCAAGGTCAATAGTATTCAGGGTCGTATTGCCATTCCCTTTCATTTACTCAGCTTCTTTTCCTCGGCTGAAATTTATTGTCCCCTAAATAAATTCCTCCTAGGACATATTTATATGTTAAGTTGCTAGTGGCAATATTATTATCTGAGTATGTTAAACATCTGAAATTTAAAAATCATTGTACAGGTAATAAATTTAAAACCAGAGGTATCAGTTGTTGAAAGAGGGTGCCCTGTTCACATCCTGAGCAAAATTTCCATACAAAGTTCATTCCTTGTATTTCAAGGAGATATAAATTATCTCTTTCACAACTGGTGAGGTCTCCAGGTCTAATCCCTCCCCGGGGTAAATGTGTATTTGAATAAATGTTCAGTCTGGATTGACAAATATTTAAAACATGTTCTGGTCAGCTTACCGATGCCTCGATTCATTGCTATAATTAGCTTACACTGGCCACAGCAGATATAGGAAGACATGTCAAAGCATAGGGAGACTGTAGGGGTGTTCAGTGGATAGACCCCCAACAGAGAAAAATTAGTAGGTCAAAGCACCCAGCCAAACGCTCTCTCTCTTCCCTCCCCTGTGGCACCTCTCATCCACTAGTTGGCCCCAGATCAACTCCTCCCCCTCACTTCCAGGGCCTCTTGTCTGCAACAGGCTCTGAAAGGGAGGAGAGTTGATGGGAAGTGGGTGGAAAGAGGCAGGATGGGGCATAATAAAGGCAGGAAGAGATAGAGTGAAGACTTGGGGGAAAGTGTGGAATGGAGGCAGGGTCTAGAATAGAGTGGGGTAGAGCACTTCCTGGCAAGAAGGGAAAATGACACCTATGTGCCAGACCAAATTATGACTCTCTCTGTGCCCTGCCCTGGGTGCAAGTTAGCACTGCCTGGAGCTGAACTCTCTGTCACCAATGAGCAAATGATAACTTACAATTAACAAAAGTTTTAATCATTATATCTGTGCCTTCCCTTACCCCGTTTGCTTTCCCATCGTCTTACATGCTTATGTGTCCCAAATGTAATTGGCTATTTTTAATTCTAACTATTCGAAATCTTTTCATACCTATGATAGGGGTGTCACCAACTCGTCCAACCATTTTGTTTGTGATGCCTCCAGTTGATGTTGCACAAGCCAGGTTACCTTCACAGTCTATAGCAACTGCACCCACTGTGTCATGAACCCTAGAACGCAGAGAAAACAGTACAGTAACTCCATGTTGAACAGCTGCATTGCCAGAAGCATCACTAAACAATAACCATTTAGCACATAAAAATAACACTTAGTACATAAAGAGAGCTTTTCATCTTCAAAGAGGTCTACAAACATTAACTAATTAATCCTCATAGTGTGCCTAGGAGGCAGGTAAGTAATATTAGGTCCTTTTTTTCCCATATGCAAAGATAATACTTGGTTTGCATAAAAAAAAGAGAGAGTCAGGGCCGGAGCATAGATTATATTTTTTTTAATATCTGAAGAGCTGTTTCAAATGTAGCCTGCTAGGACACTGAGCAGAACAGAGTTGGGAGGGTATCTCCCTATTTTTGTATACACAATTTCAGGTGGGGAAATATCTATTTTGACTCAAAGCTATATTAAACAAATATTTATACAAAATATTTATGTCAAAATTATATATAATACATGTATTTATTACATTTGAAAGTAATACAATGTAAAATGTTAATTAAAATGCATAAAAATTAAAATAGAATAAGGGAGGGGGCTCTGATAATATCAGGACAAGTATTTGCTCCTACCTACAAACGTATTCATTTTCTTTCATTTTTATATTCATTTTCTAATTAACAAGTGTTCTGTGATTAATTTCCTGCCCAACTGTCAGTAGTAACCATGCTTTAGTGAGGCTGATATAATATTTATTGAATTTGCACAATATCCCTTCTAAAAAATGTTACTCAAAACTACTTTCCTTTGCTATGGTGTCTTTCATAAAATGATCTCAAAGTGCTTCACAAACGTGAAGCCTCACAACTTTACTCTGTGTGACATACATTAACACTGTGTTAAGACCAGATACCTTGTGTAGAGAATTGACAATACAGTCCTCCTTTTTTTCTGCCAGTAGCAAAGGCAAAAATGACATCACTAACACAGATGAGAATTGAATTAGTTTGCAAAAATTAAATGATAACTGTCTCTTAAGGTTTGCCCTTTTGTACTAGTTTAACATACTTGGGGGTGGGGAGGGGGGTTAGTATATTTTCTATATTAGTCCAGAAAATGTCAGCCGTTTCTATACATATTCGATCCAAATTGAAATTATTTTGTCTGATATAATACTAGTAAATGAAGATTACTGTTTTGGCAGTGAGGGACTGAAGCAGACATACTATATTATCATGAGATATTCATTCTATGTTGGCTTGCCACAAAATCCAAAATAAAGTTGCCTAAGAAATGTGTGAAGTTTTCTAAGCAGACAGCTTTCCATAGCGATATATATTAATGTTATTCCTTGTTATAAAATAAAACAATATTTAATGATTGTCCAAGGGATCCGGTCCCATCTACATAAATTAATGTTGTTATTATAATGATGTACCATTTATATTTCAGTTCCAGTGAGACTCCATTCAAGATCAGAGCTTGACTGATCCCTGGGGATCATCTTAAATTCCTTAATTTTCATAGAAATTTTTGATAGTCCACCTTTTGATACTAGACCAGCTTTTTGTATTTCGCAAATACACAAATATTGAGAAAAAAAATGTCTTTTAAGTCCTTATTCTTGTTCAGAATGGAAGTAAAAGAGCTGAAGTATCACAAGATGCTATTCTTGCAAAATGTTTAGACCACATAGAAACAAGAAGTAATGATGCTAAATTTCCATCACAATTTAGCAGATTAAGGGAACTAAATCATCTCTGCTTTAATTCCGCAGATGTTGGTCAAATTAAAGCAGGGATGATTTGGTGGCCATAAAGATTTGAATACAGTTCAGATAAGTATCCAGACTTTCAGGTCCTAAGCTAATCCAATTTTTTCAAGCTTCTGAGGTTTGATTGTCAATAGTTTTTAGCCTACTGATCTTTGGCCACGATTCCTCAGCACTTTCTGTGAATCAGTAGGTGAAAAGTAGACACTAAATATTAAAGCATCCAAAACCATTAGTCACTTTGGGTATGTCTACACTACCCCGCTAGTTCGAACTAGCGGGGTAGTGTAGACATACCCAAAGTGACTAATGGTTTTGGATGCTTTAATATTTAGTGTCTACTTTTCACCTACTGATTCACAGAAAGTGCTGAGGAATCGTGGCCAAAGATCAGTAGGCTAAAAACTATTGACAATCAAACCTCAGAAGCTTGAAAAAATTGGATTAGCTTAGGACCTGAAAGTCTGGATACTTATCTGAACTGTATTCAAATCTTTTTAAAAATGGCGGCGCCGGCTTTATGCTAATGAAGCCCGGGAAATTCAAATCCCGGGCTTCATTAGCAAGTTCGGTATGCATACATTACCCCGCTAGTTCTAACTAGCGGGGTAGTGTAGACATACCCTTTAAGAACTGAGACCTTAAAGTACAATCACTAAAGCATGTCCACACTACAGGGAAGATCAACGCTGCTACAGTTGATCTTCCAGGGTTCAATTTAATGGGTCTATTGAAGACCTGCTAATGCAAACTGAAAGTGCATCCTGGTCGGTGCTGGTACGCCTCCTCACAAGGAGTAAGAGAAGCTGACAGGAGTGCTTGCTCCCATTGATCTCCTGTTGTGTGGATGGTGATTTAAGATATGTCGACTCCAGCTACATAATTAATGCATATCTAAGTCAACCTTTCCTTTTAGCATAGACATGCCATAAGACCTCACTCCAATGCTCACTGAAGTAATAAAAAGACTTCCATTGACTTCAATGACCAGTAGCTCAAACCTAATACAAAGTCTATTAAAGTTAGTGTAAGTGCTTGAGTCAGGATCAGTGTGATTAAACATATTCTCTTATCAAATGGCGAACCCCAACACTCACTGTTATCCATGAGAGCTCTCAACATTTCCAGATTGTAGCCCTACAGAAGAAAAAGGTTGAAGCTGTTTTTCTTTGCTGTGACCTTTTCTAGATGATTACATTACATTTTAGCTGTGAAAAGCTGGCCCAGTTGAAGTAAGTAGGTTTCTAGCTGACTAACCAGCTCCATATTCATTGTCTTTCTGAAACATATGGACAGCAAGGGCTCATGGTGTTTTGCTCTTCTGATGTAGAATATTTAATATCCATTTTAAGCCTGTAAAGTGTGTTCAGATATTATGATGATGTGTAACTTATCAACATTTTTAATAACAATAAAGTAAAATAATATTTTAAAATCCATTATTATTCAATTAATAACACTTTTCAATTATTCAATATATGTACATTTTAAAAGCAAACCATAATTCCAATTTCCAAACTTCTAATTTTCATTTGTATCTTGTTACACTGATAAATTATGTTTATAATTAAAAATGAAAATGATCATTACAGGAAAGAAATTGTTTGCAGAGAGGTGTTAAAATTGATTTTTGTCAGGGAAGCACACCAAACACATTTTAATAAAGCAGTCAGACTGGGATTGGATGCAAGTTCTGCGACTGGCACATTTAAAGATTAGCTCCCCTCCTCCACAAATAACCCCCTTGTGTTGATTTTAATTGCAAATTGACATCATTAAAAAGATATGACCTTACCAGGCTCATGATTCAGATCACGCATACTTTATATGAAATTTCATATTACTGCTAATGCATTACAAATGATTACCTTGTTCAACTTCTCAGAGGTTAAACAGACTTTCTTATACTGCACAATGAAAAATAAACATAATGTATACCTATCTTTGAGGGGGAAATGTGTTTTAGCTTTTTCTTTCCAATTCTCTCTATAAGCACATGGCTTTCTAATGGAAATTACTGTCTTGCAAACGTTATGTGGAACAGAAATTAATATATGAAATGTATGTACACAGGATCTCACTACCCCTCCTATTGCATCTGGCTTTTGTGCACATAATAATATAGACAATGAGTGATCACTGGTGCATCTAAAGAGCATACAGGTCAAAAACTCTCAGAAGCAAATCTGGCTTTAATCCATCTTTGAAGTCTTCTGATCCTGGGTCATATGGATGCCCAGCTAGTCCCAAGTTGTCCTTCCTGGCTGTTCTCAGCAATGTTCATTGCTAATTGCAATGACAACTGCTTCCTGTTTTAGGTATCTATCTATTGACTTTGATTTTTATCTGCTTAGGTTTAAGTACCCATTCTCCAGATACTTAATGATGCTCCATCTCCCACCCCCTTCCCTTTTTCTTTCTCTCCCCTCTCCTATTTATTTTGAGTTTTCATATCCCCAACTCTTAACTCCGGTCATCTGAAGAAGTGGTCTGTGCCCACAAAAGCTCATGATATCATCTACATGTTTCGTTAGTCTATAAAGTGCTGCCAGACTATTTGTTGTTTTTTTCTGTAAGGGTATGTCTACTTTTGCAGCCTATTTCAGAATAGGGCTGAAAATGTAGGCATTCGGAATTGCAAATCAAGCCTGGGATTTAAATATCCCGTGCTTGATTTGCATCTTCCCGGCTGGGTGCCATATTTGAAATTTACATGCCTGGAATAACTGCCCGCGTCTACACACAGCAGTGAAATGGGCGTTTGAAATAAAGCCCTGTTTCGAACTACCTGTTAAACCTCATTGCAGGAGGAATAATAGGTAGTTCGAAATAGGGCTTTATTTCAAAAGCCCGTTTCACTGCTGCGTGTAGATGCGGGCAATTATTCCAGGCTTGTAAATTAAAAAAAAAAATGGCGCCTGGCTGGGAAGATGCAAATCAAGTGTGGGATATTTAAATCCCGGGCTTGATTTGTAATTCCGAATGCCTACATTTGCAGCCCTATTCCGAAATAGGCTGCAAGTATAGACATAACCTAACAGACTAACTCGGCTACCCCCTGAAACAACTGTTAGATCAGTTAGACATTGCTGGAGTCAGGTCCCCTTTTCTACTGCAGCAGCTGCAATCACAGGAAGAAGAATTTCTGTAGTGAGGATCCCTCTACACAGGGATGAGCTTTCCCACTGAGGCCAGTTCTAGGGATTCATATTAGTGGCCAGAAGCAAAACAGCCCTGACACAGGGAAGCATCTATGCCAATAGTTTGGTTCAAAGGAGCATGCCC